CATCAAGGCGGGCTTGTCCCTCTACAGGAGGAAGACTCAAAACTAGTCAAACATAGTCGGGGGACGATTGTTTCACTATTTTTGCACATGGTTTGGAGCTTCTTTGGGTATCTTTAATTTTCCATCCCAAATCCCCCAGCAGGAGGACATGCCCGACCTAAGTCTTGCATCCTTGCCTGGGCATCGTAGAAAAGTCGCCATGTCAGACCGGGGTCCGAGGAAACTTTTCATCAGTTTCGGCTTCCCGGGCCCCTTCCTGTGTCCCCCGGGAAGTCCACGCAGATGGCTGGGGGCGCAAGCCTGCTCTGCTCCTCGGGGGAGGCCCTGGGATCCGTAGGGCCCGTTTCCCTCAGGGCCCGCTCGGTGCATCCAGGCGATCGCAAACATGGATCAAGGGGGCGTGGATTAGCGACGGGTCCTGTCCCCATGGGAAATCGCGGATTTCCGCCGCCGAACGGGGCGGCACCGGCCGCATCTTGGGGAGGGCACCTCCCCCGATCAATGGATTTGGCGACCGCGCGCCAAATCCATGGATCGCTAATCCATGTTTGCGCGCCCCCGAACCAAGGGGCCCACCTCCAGCGAGGAGGTCCACGACGTCTCCCAGAGCTGGAGGCTGGGGATGTCTCGAGCGAGAGGGGGGGTAACCACACCACCAGGGAGACCCCCGCTGCCTCCTTGCATCTCCTCGCCCTGGCAGTGCTGTGTCGCCTTTCCTTGTTCCTGCCTCGGCTCACGTCTGCAGCATGACATGCAGCCAAGCCGCCGAGATGAGGACTGCCCCGGGATCAGGAGGGGGCTCTGGCTTCCGGTCCACTCCTCAGATCTGGGGCGGGGGGGGCCTTCGCGGCCGAGGCCGAGCGGGGCCAGAAAAGGCTTTTCGCTCCCGATTCAGAGGTCCTTCTAACTGCGCGATGGCGGTGCTCCTGTGTTTGACCGTCTTGGTAATCTCAGGCTCCTTTTTACGACTTGTGCGATCGCATCGTCCTGGCTCTCTGCGCCGCCCACTAGGCCGCGCGCACACATGCGGCGCGCGGCGTCAAGGTGCGGCCTCGAAAGATGGCGTGCCGTGCTCTTCAGCCTCCTGTCCTCTTCTCCCGAGTACCGTTAAGTCGGGCCTGTCTCTCTACAGGAGGAATGTTCACATGTTGTCAAAAATAGTATGGGAACGCTTTTGTGTTATATCTATATATATATATATGAGTATGTTTTGAATATGTGTCGAGTATGTTTAATTGTTCCTCGAAGTCCGCCTGTAGGGGGACATGCCCGACCTGAGAGTACCGTGCTCGTTCTCGTCATCGCCCCCACCCCTCTCCTGCTACTTTTCAATCACCAGTCCGACGAGCATTCATCGGATTGATATGTGTTTCTTTGTCATCATCGTTTCCGCCCCCATCCCTTCTGACTGGTCTTCCTCATCCTGTATTTTCTCCGCTTCCTCCTCCTCTGCCTCCTCCTCCTCCTCTTCCTCATTCATCTGTCATCAACTGTCCTTCCTCCTGTCTCCTCCTTCCCAACATTTCATATTTTATCGTCGATCCTCCTTCATTATGTTTCCCTTTCACCTTCCCTGCCACGTCCGCCCTCTTCCCTCCTCCTCATCCTTCTCCTTCTCCCCATCGTCCCTCTCCTCTTTCGTCATCCACGTCATGCCAAGATTCTTCTCTTCCCCCCTTTGTTATTATCCTTTTCCTGTTCGCTCACCGCTTCTCCTCTCCCCATGTTTCCGTATCTCTTCACTTGTCCCCGCTTCCTCTTTCCCGCCACCGTTTCTGCACCTGCTCCCGTCCCCGCCCCGCCCGGCCGTCATACTGCCCTCCCGGTCGTCGTCATTTTGGCCTTGCTTCCTTCCCCTCCCCGACCCTCTTCCTCCCCGTCATCGGCGTCTCGATGTGGCTTCTTCGTTTGCGTCTCCTTCTGTGGATCCCTCTCCTGCTTCTCCTTCCACCCGTCCTCCACGTCCGCCTCCGCCACCTTCTGCTGCGTCTCAGTATCCTCCTATTTCTTTCTCCGCGCGCTCCTCTTCATCCTCCTTCATCCGCCATCCCCTGTCTTCCCTTCTTCCATCGTTCTCTTCCTCACCACCACATTCTCTCTAGTCAGCCATTCTCCGTGCTTCTGTGTCGCCTTCACGTCCCTCTTGTCCTCCTCCCGCTTCTCGCGTCTCTCCTCCTCTTTTTCCCAACCCTCCTGCGTTGGGTTCTCGTTTTGAATAGAGCACTGCTCGCGCGTCTCCTTCCTTCCCGCTCCCCCCCCCCGCCCCTCTCTTCCCCCCTGCCTTTGACCTTGCCATCCCTGGGGGGCTGCGATCTGTGAAACTGTCGCCACTTTCGAGGGCTGCTGGGGGGCCCAGCACAGTCTGCACCCGCGGCGGACCCAAATTAGACCTCGCCATCCCTGGGGGGCTGCGATCTGCCAAACTGTCGCCACTTTCGGGGGCCCAGCACAGTCTGCACCCGCGGCGGACCCAAATTAGACCTCGCCATCCCTGGGGGGCTGCGATCTGTGAAACTGTCGCCACTTTCGAGGGCTGCTCTCGCGGCGGACCCAAATTTGACCTCGCCATCCCTGGGGGGCTGCGATCTGTGAAACTGTCGCCACTTTCGAGGGCTGCTGGGGGGCCCAGCACAGTCGCACCCGCGGCGGATCCAAATTAGACCTCGCCATCCCTGGGGGGCTGCGATCTGTGAAACTGTCGCCACTTTCGAGGCCTGCTGGGGGGCCCAGCACAGTGGGTACCCACGGCGGACTCAAATGGGACCTCGCCATCCCTGGGGGGCTGCGATCTGTGAAACTGTCGCCACTTTCGAGGCCTGCTGGGGGGCCCAGCACAGGGGGTACCCACGGCGGATTCAGGTTAGACCTCGTCATCCCTGGGGGGCTGCGATCTGTGAAACTGTCGCCATTCTCGCGGCCTGCTGGGGGGCCCAGCACAGTGTCGCCACACGCAGATTCAAATTAGACCTCGCCATCCCTGGGGGGTTGCGATCTGTGAAACTGTCGTCACTTTCGAGGCGTGCTTGCGGGGCCCAGCACAGTGACGCCTCCCAAGTAGTTTACACATCAAGTTGATTGTCCATACAAGTTCCGGCCAACTCCTCGTTTCCATTGATACAAATGGGTTGGGTACGTCACAGGGTAATTCCTTCTCTCCTTCTCCGCCTCCTCGTCCTCCTCCCATCGTCCTCCATTCCTTTTCCTCATAAATAGCTCCTCCCTGTCGCACCCCGAGACGTGTCTGTAGGGCGGGCTGGGCATGGCGTTTGAGGCTTGTTCACCAGACCGGATTTTGAAGCTGATAGATTGCAATAGCTTCACGGATGGAGGGCGGGTCGTTTTCAAAATGTCGTTATCGCCTTAGAGTTGCGCGCGTTTGCCTTAAAAGTGTGCCAGAGTGTCACGGTTGGAGGGCGGCCCCTTTTACACGTGGGTTTCGCCTTAGCGCCGCACGCATTCTTTTTGGCTTTTTGCAAGAGCTTCACTGATTATGGCCGGCGTGTGTTCAAAATGTGGTTCTCTTAGTTCTCGCCTCTCAGAAATAGTGTTCTTGGCAGGATACGAAACTGACAGAACGCAACAGTCACATAGATTCGCGGTGTTGAGGTCTCAGGTATGGTGTTCTGCTACGGTGCAGGATAGTCACGACGCAACAATAATGTTGATGCTCGGCGCAGAAGTCCCAGAGATGGTTCTTTGGCGCGGATCAGGATAGTCAGACGAGCGTCTTCCAACGGGGCAGTTTCATAAGTGAACAAAATCTTGCAAGGGCCTATGGAGAGGGAACTCGGAGAGAGTGTATTGCAACATGGGTTGGTGAGTCCTGGTTTTGCACTGGGCCTCCTCCTCCTCCTCCTCCTACTCCTCCGCTTCCCTCCTGTCGCGTTATCAGTCCCATCTTCCTCCATACTCCTTCCCTTCCGCGTTCTCATCGTTCTCATACTTGTCGGTCCAATCCTCGCAGTCCGTCTCGGAATCCCGTCCGCGTCCTTATCCTCAATCCTGTTCCCATTTACCCCCCCCCGTTTATCAATCTCTCATTATCTCCTCGCCCTCCCTGGCGATGCCTTCCCGTCCCTGCCCTCCCGCTCCCCGTTTCTCCTGCCTCGCCCCTCTTTGTTTCCCCCAGCGCCCTTCCCTTCTGGGACTCTATGCCTTTCCTCTCCTCTTCCTCTTCCTCCTCCTCTTCCTCCTCCTCCTCCTCCTCGTCCTCCTCCGCCTCCTCCTCCTCCACATCCTCCTGCTCCCCATCATCCTCGCTTGCCTTTTACCCTCATACCGCCTCCTCCAAGTCCACCCCCCCCTGCTCTTCTTGCCCACGCCTGTCTCATCATGTGGGGATGTTGTTTAGCTAGTTGATGGCCAGATGTTTGCCCATTCACGCGCACGGTGTCGCCTGTTGTCCATGTCGTCGTTTTCAAAGAAAGGGCGTACTCAGGCTTGGGACTGCGAGAGCACCATTTCGGATGTCTTGTGGCACGCTTCCAGCAGGAAGCCAATCCAAATGGGGCACCAGCATCGAGATGTTGGTTCGCTGCTGTTGCATCTGGAGGTGTCGGGGAACTGAGGGAACCTCTTGGAACCTGAACGTCTTCACTAGTAGATGAGCACGCTGGTGGCGGCAGGTCTTCCTGGCGCGACTGTCGCTACTGAGGGTTTGGAGAGCGGCAATGAGGGAGGGTTGCGGCTGAGGAGTGGAGGGAACACTATGTAGAGAATGTGAGATTGCTCGGAGGATCTCGATGCCCCGTCGTTTGGGCGGCCAAAGAGCCGAGGATATTTGCCGAGTAATTCAATTCAAAGTCGCCCCAGCACCCCACCGCTTGGGAAACCGGGGCGTCCACACATTGGTCGACCAGACGATTTGGTGGATTGATACGTCGAAACTCTCAAGGCTGAGCTCTCTTTGATTTCTGAGCCTTCCTCAGTCAATGGCAGTTGGGTGAGGCAAGGACGGTCTGGTCTGCAGGGGATCAGTTCGGCGCCCCGTGGCTGACAAGGTCCAGCAGTGCACGAGCACGACGGCATGGCGTTTCATCAGGAGACGGGGACTGGCAAAGTCTCGATCCCAGCACCTTGCACACACAGGGCAACCGTGCATGCCAAGCGTTGACGTCTGCATGCCTACTGCACAAAGGGGTTGAGCGCTTGCTTCGGCAGAGACATGGCGTCGCATCCAGTGTGAGGAAGCATGCGCGAATCTGATTAGTGATGGCCCGGGGTGCACCTGTAGCCCCACTGCGTGCAGCGCGCTCATGCGCACGCTGGCAGCAGTTGGCTCCGTATGTATGGAAAGGGACTTGCGACGTGACGCGTGCAACGTGCAAAGCGCTCACGTCGGGCGTAGTCAATAATTCTTGCTCGTGAGCTGGTCTGACTGCCGGACCCACTGACTGACAGGTCGCAACGACAGCAGGCCGTTTTATCCGGCAGCCAAAGCCAAACACGGCACGCTGTTTTCCAGCCTGAGACTCTGCGACCTACGTATTGCGCAAGCTAATTTCCAGTGTTTTTCTTCCCTCCACGTCGCACCCCCGACCGCATTCTACTCAACACCGGTCCCTGGACCCCTCTCCATGGGTCCTCCGACACGCTAATGGCGATGTATATAACGGCGATGTAGGTTTCGATATTGTGGGAACGCGTGGCTCGTGCTTTCCTACAAATCGCTGTGTTGTTTTCGTTCGATCCGTTCGCAGATAGGAAATGTAGGAAAGTGTGCTCGCGATGTCCTACAATTTGGTTCCCAGCATCGCCGTTAGGCAACATCGCCGTCAGCGTGGCCGTAAGGGGCCCTCGTGACCAGGCTTCGATCCAGGATGAATTGCCGAAGGTCCCAGCCCAGGGCCCAACATTGGCACCTCGAGGCCGAAGATGAGGAGGACGCTCCGTCGCGATCGTTTTGACTTTCGGCGTCGTCCCCTTCAGACCGGGGCCAGACGAGAAATCGGGGGGTGCTGGAGGTGCCCCTGGCCCAAGATGCCCCTAACTTTTCGTTAAACTTAAGTCGGGCCTGGGGGAATATTCAGAAATAGTCAAAAAATAGTCATGGGAAGTTGTTTTGAGTATGTTTGATTTGTTTCGTGCACTGTTGTTAATGTTTTTATGGTTCGTCCAAAATCCGCCTGTAGGGAGATACGCCCGACTTAACGTTAAATCCTGTAGCCCCTGGGTCCCTCTGGGCCTCGTGAGGGGTGCCCTGGAGGCCGTAGGGGCCTCTCTGGAAATCCTGGGGGGGGCACTTTGGGACAGGGACACTTCTGACAACGCCCGACCTTCAGGCTGGAGCGGACGAGAAAGGGGTCATGAATGAAGGGGGAGCGCTATGAGAACTACTGCATGCAGCTGGTTCTTGCCCTCGCCACTACGCAACTTACTCGATCCTGGTCGCGCCAAGCGCCGGGAGGCGCCGGGAGGCGCCAGAAAAACCCAGTTGCATGCAGTTGGTTCTTTACAGTCAGCGCGTCAACTAATACATCGGTCTGTCAGCAGGTGCCCAACGGAGATTCCTTGTCCCCTTGTTGGCCCTGGAAGCCCGCAGAATGCCCTGGGGCACTGCGGGAAGCTCAGCGATCGACTACAAAGATGCTCCTCGATCTCTTACAGCAAGGTACCTTACCGCATATGTCTCCGCGCCGTTTGTTCCGACGCGCGGCCTTACGTCTTGGGAAAGGCGGCCCGGCGACCAGGGCAAATGCCGCCTCGGGCCTGGTGGGTTTACCGTGGGTTTGCCGAGGTGCTGGCTTCGTCTGTTGGGCCGCGGGGCGCAGGGCTTGTCGTGGGCTTGCCGTGCTGCCGGCTTCGTCCACTTGGGCGCGTCGAGAACAATCGGCGCGATGACACGTATCTGCTGCATCACCCCTCTTGCTGTTCTGCTGTCCTCCCTTCCCTTTTCGTCCATCGTATCCCGGCCAGGGGAGAGGTGGTCGGGGAGGGAGGCGGGGGAGCAGCAGGTCGTATAGGTCGGAGGAGAAGAGGAGAAACAGGAGGAGAAGGAGGGCGAGCAGGAACAGGATGAGGAAGAGAACGACGTGGGGGAGCAGGGAGCAGGGAGCATGGAGGACGAGGAACATGCGGAGGAGGAGGAGCAGGAGGAGGAGGAGGAGGAGGAGCAGGAGGAGGAGGAGGAGGAGGAGGAGGAGAAGGGAGGAGGAGGAACATGCGGAGGAGCAGGAGGAGGAGGAGGAGGAGGAGGAGGAGGAGGAGGAGGAGGAGGAGGAGGAGGAGGGGGCGGACGGCGACGCCGCCGACATGGCACTGTCGCCGCGGAGGACGGTGAGATCCTGGGGGAAGCAGGTCCCAGACCCAGGAGCTGTCCCCAGGGCCGGCTCTCCGCCCCGAGCCGCTCTTGGACGGCCGCGGGGCCCGTGTGGGGCCCCCGGTGGCGCTCGAAGGCGGCGAGAGGCCCGCAGGGCCCCGTCCCTCCAGGGCCCCTCTTCGTTCACGAGGAGGAGGAGGAGGAGGAGGAGGAGGAGGAGGAGGAGGAGGAGGAGGAGGAGGAGGAGGAGGAGGAGGGAGGAGGAGGGAGGGATGAGGAGGAGGAGGAGGGAGGATGAGGGAGGAGGTAGGTGGGAGGAGGAGGGAGGAGAGGAGGAGGAGGGAGGAGGAGGAGGAGGGAGGAGGAGGGAGTAGGTGGGAGGAGGGGGGAGGAGGAGGAGGAGGAGGAGGAAAAGGAGGAGGAGGAGAAGAAGGAGGAAGAGGAGGAGGAGGAGGAGGAGGAGGAGGAGCAGGAGGACCTATCGGCTCGGTCATGCCCCTCGCGGGCGGTCAGGGCCAGAGGGCGGCTGCCGTTCTCTCCAGGTGGGCGACGCGGGGGCGCGCGGGTGCGAAGATACACTCAACCCGCATGGTAGTTAAGGATGGGCATCATTGCCAAGGGTACCCTTGCATCCTTGCCTTAAGTCGGGCATGTCCCTCTACAGGAAGACCTTTCAATAATAGTGCAAAAAATGTCATGGGAACCATTTTTCTGTTATTTTTGAACATGTGAATATGTTTGTCGATGTTTTATGCTTCTTCCAAAATCCGCCTGTAGGAGGATGCCCGACCTAATCCTTGCTCCTCCTCGGTCCAGCCTTGGCCATTTTCGTTCGCCTCGCCGCGGTCAAAAGGCTTCGAAGTGGGCGCCCAAGGCCCATGCATCCTTATCGCGCGTCCTTCTGGTACGGGCCGGCTGCGGCCGCGCGTCGCGCATCGCGGGGCGCGATCCGCGCAGCCGGGTGGCCTAGCAACCTCTGGCTCGGAAGTCAGCAGTCGACCCCCAGACCCGTCCTTGGGTGCATGCTGGCACGAATCTCGAGGGGCATCCAGCCATGGCGACGAGGACGCGCCCAGTTGGCCCACCGAGGGGCCAAAGGGACGTCCAGGAGCCTTCCTCCTTTCCGGACCTCGGCCCTCCATGCCCAGACACTGTTGGCCATGCGGCGAGCTGGGTCCAACGAGCGGCCCAGCGAGCGGCGGCACGCCTCCGTGGCGAAATTTGAGGCTCAGGGGCTCCGGCGGGCGAGGGCAAGAGACGTCGTGCCCAGGCCTGCGACGATGGTGCCTCTGGCCAGCGCGCGGCCCCAGAGGGGCCCGACCCCCTTCCCGGGGGGCAGCTGCCCGTCCTGGCCCTGCTCTCGAGGAGACTCCCTGCCCAGGCCTGCGACGGTGGTGCTTCTGGCCAGCGCGCGGCCCCGGAGGGGCCCGACCCCCTCCCGGAGGGGGAGCTGCCCGTCATTTGGGCCTGCTCCTCAGAGGGCCCCGTGGCCCGACTCGGGATCCCCAGAGGGCGAAAGCTGCTGCGGCTGAGAACGGAGCGGGGCGTGGGAGATCGGGGTGCTCCTCCCCCCGGGGACCGGGCCCGACAGCCCGCCCCGCCCAGGAGCGCCCCGGCCCTGCCGTCGGGGGCCTGTCGCAGGTCCGTCGGCGAGGTGCCGCCGATTCCAGGGCGATGCTCCCCCCCTGTGCCGGTACTGAGGCAGGCCTATAGGAGCAAGTCGTGCCTGCCTCTACAGGAGGAATGTTAAGAATAGTCAAACGTTAGTCTGGGGACGATTGTTCGATTATCATCTTCTGGCCATTTTGGGATATCTTTTGGTTAATTTTTCATGTTTCGCCCCACAATCCGCCTGTAGGGGGACATGCTCGACCTAAGCCCAGGACCAGAGAGGGTCGTTCCAGGGCGTTGTGGAGCACTCTCGGGGCCTGCCAGAGCGCCCCGGAGCGGCTGTGCCGCCCGAGGAGTGTCTTGCAAGGCCGCCGGAGCTCAGAGATATCCCCGATCTGTCCTTGTCCGATGGTATAGAGGCCTCCCAGATGGGGTCGCATCGGAGGTTCATAAGCGCCTTACCCTGACGCGTCGATTAATGAATTGGCCGTTTCTGGTTCGCGAGAGGGCGTCACGGCCGTAATTTTTGCGGGTCCAGGGCCGGTTTCGGTCCTAGGCCGTTTTCACTGAAGGGTGGTTTACTAAGGGGGGGTTTGTCCACCGCCGATCGGAGTAGATGGGGTCGGGGGATCGCGCCGCATCGCCGATACATCGGCGATGCATCGTCGTCGTGGGCGATGCATCGGCGACGCATCTCAGAGATATCCCCGATCTGTCCTGGTCCGATGGTATCCCAGACCTCGCCTTGTCTTGGGTTGCGGGACATGCCCGATCTAATCTTAGGTCCCGCCCGACCTAATCTTAGGTCCTTCCCTAAGTATCGTTGCCCCCCTGGGACTATCGCTGAGACTGCTAAGCGGAAGCTGAGGTTTCAGGCAGGTGCTTAGGTTGGTTATATCTGGTCTAACCTGTATCATGAGAGGGCTGCAAGTGCCTGAAGTTGCTTGGGTGCCACCTGCAGCATGAGTTCCTCAAGTGCCCCAAGCCACTTGGGGTACTTCTAGCCTGCTTCTAGATTGCGTTCGGCTAGATCTGCGCAACCCACCTTGATTTCAGCCCCCCAGGGCTCGAGCTGCCAGATCTGCGAGATATCTGTCCGGGTCAGATGTGGTCGCAGTCTGCGCCTCGTCTCAGGTACCTCAGCTTGCGCAGGGGCGAGAGAACACCAACGCGTACCTGATGTTCCGTGGGTTTTCGAGAGGATGAAGTGCGCGAAGGTTCCTAACACGAGGCTGGCCTCCCGGACTGGATGTGGAGGGCGGGGGGGGGGGGCGACTCGTGTACGTGGCAGGGCGCGTACGACTCTTGCGTGCTCCAAGGGTGGATCGCTGCTCACCCCCCCGTCGTCCTCCTCCTCCTCCTCGCCCTCCCCCTCCTCCCTCCTCCTCCTCCTCCTCCTCCTCCTCCTCCTCCTCCTCCTCCTCCTCCTCCTCCTCCCCCTCCTCCTCCTTCTCCTCCTCCTCCTCCTGCCACATTCTTTTTCTGTATAATTTCTCCCCGTCGCACCCCGAGGCCTGTCTTTAGGGCGTACAGGGCGTTTCGCCTGAGACCTCCTCACTCAAATAGGCAACAGTTCACAGATGGAGGGCGGGTCATTTTCAAAATGCGGTTCTCGCATCGGCGCCGCGCACATTTGTTCTAAAAGTGTACAAGAGCTTCACGGAATGAGGACCACCCGTTTTCAAGATGTGGTTCTCGCCTTAGCGCCGCGCACGTTCGTTCTAAATTTGTGCAAGCGGTTCACGGATTGAGGATATCCCGTCTTCAAACTGTGGTTTTCGCCTTAGCGCCGCGCACATTCGTTCTAGACATGTCAAGAGTTTCACGGATCGAGGGCGGTTCCTTTACAAATTGTGGTGTTCGCTTTAGCGCCGCGCACATTCGTTCATAACATTTGCAAGAGGTTCATGGACTTTCGCGATCAACGTACCAGAAACGGTGTGTAGGAAAGATTTTGAATTTTGCGGGTGCAGCAGTTACGTTGGTTGACGGTGTTGAAATCCCAACAAGAATGGCGTTTTGGCATGATCCAGGATCCTCAAGACGCACGAGTCGGGTTGATTCGTGGCGTTAGAATCCCGAGAACAATGTTGTGGCATGCTTCCGGGTCTTCAAACGGTTGCCTTCCAACGACGCAAATCCTTCAATGGAAATGAACCGTTGTAGGGGGCCTATGAAGAGGGATATTGGAGGGAGGGTATGTTCCAACATCGTTGATGGCTCTTGGGTTACACTGGTCCTCCGCCTCCTCCTATTCCCCCTTCTTCTCCTCCTCCTCCTCCTCCTCCTCCTCCTCCTCCTCCTCCTCCTCTTCCTCTTCCTCCTCCTCCTCTTCCTCCTCCTCCTCGTCCTTCTCCCCCTTCTCCTCCTCCTCGCCTTCTCCTCCTTCTCCCTCCTCCTCCTCCTCCTCCTCCTCTTTCTCCTCCTCGTCCTTCTCCTCCTCCTCCTCCTGTTCCCCCTCCTCCTCAGCCTCCTCCTCCTCATCCTCCTCTTCCTCCTCCGTTTTTGCTTTATAAATAAGTTCTCCTTGTCGCACCCCGCGGCAAGTTTTTAGGGCGGGCAGGGCGTTTCGCCTGAGAGATCCACGCCATTTATGATTCTGCAGTTTCAGAATTTGCCAGAGTTTCACGGATTGAGGGCGGGTCGTCTTCAAAATGGTTTTCGCCTTAGCGCGGCGCGCATTCGTTTCAAACATTTGCAAGACGCTCGCGGATTGAGGGCGAGTGTTTTTCAACATGTGGTTCTCGCCTTAGCGCCGCGCACATTCTTGTTTAAAACTCTTTGCAAGAGTTTCACGGATTGAAGGCGGTTCCTTTTCAAAATGTGGTTCTCGCCTTAGCGCCGCGCACATTCGTTTACAACATTTTCAAGAGTTTCACGGGTTCTCATCATCAGCGTACCAGAAATGGTGTTTTGGAAGGGTTCAGGATTATGCGGGTGCAACAGTTACGTTGATTCTCTGTGCTGAAGTCCTAGGAATGGCGTCCTGGCACGATTCAGGATCGCCAAGACGCAACAGTCAGGTTGATCCGTGGCGTTGGAATCTCGAGAACAATGTTTTGGCATGCTTCGGGGTCTTCAAAACGAGGCAGCTCCGTCCATGGAAATGAACCGTTGTAGGGGCCTATGAAGAGGGATCTTGGAGAGAGGGTTAATACCAACATCGTTGATGGCTCTTGGGTTTACACGGGTCCTCCTCCTCCTCTTCCTCCTCCTCCTCCTTCTCATCCTCCTCCTCCTCCTCCTCCTCCTCCCCCTCCTCCCCCTCCTCCTCCTTCTTCTCCTCCTCCTCCTCCTCCTCCTCCTCCTCCTCCTCCCCCTCCTCCTCCCTCCTCCTCCTCCTCCTCCTCCTCCTCCTCCTCCTCCTCCTCCTCCTCCCCTTCCCCCCCTCCTTCCTCCTCCTCTCCTCCTCCTCCTCCTCCTCCTCCTCCTCCTCTCCTCTTCTTCCTCTCCTCCTCCTCCTCCTCCTCCTCCTCCTCCTCCTCCTCCTCCTCCTCCTCCTCCACCCCCACCCCGAGGACCCGAGTCAGCGCCCCGGCCTGGCGGCGCCATTCAGTTTCACGGCTTGGGCCCCGCTGCGGCTGCACCACCTGGAGGACGTGAGGCGCCCGCCGCGGGCTTTTGCCGCGCTCGCCCCGCGGGCGTCGTCGCCGCGGCTTCTTGCCTGGCGCCGCCGGCCGTCGTCGTCCGTCGTCATCCGCGGGTGGTCGTCCGTCGTCCGTTCTCTGTCGTCTTCGTCGTCGTCGTTTTCGTTGTCGCCCGTCGTCGTCCGTATTTCGTGGTCGCCGTCGTCGTCCTCCGTCAGTGGGTCGGGCTGTCGTTGGGCCGTCGTGGGGCCGTCTTGGGGCGCCTGGGGGCCAGTTTGTATGCCGCCTGCTTGGGTCCCTCAAGAGGCCTTCTTGGGCCAGCCTGGTGCTCTAATTACGTGGCCCCCTTCGGTTCCTCGAGGGCGGCAAGTGGACCAGCTTTGGGGACTTAGGTCGCTCTCCGAGGATGTCTCGGGCGACCTGGGCCTCCAAGGTCCCGATGCCGTGCGGTGAGGTCTCTGGGGATGTCGAGGTCGCCGCACGGTCTGTCGCCTCACCGCTCTGGGGCCCCAAGAGAAAGGAGGGAGGGAGGGAGGGAGGGAGGGACGAGGGAGGGAGCACGTTGGGACAAGTGAGGGAGTGGGGGACGAGGAATGGGAGGGCTGAGGGAGAGAGGTAGGTTGAGGGACGAGGGAGGGATGAGGGAGGGGCGGGAAGGAGGGAGCGACGAGGGAGGGACGAGGGGAGGCAAGGAGGGAGGGACGAGGGAGGGGGAGAAGGGGCGAGGAGGACGGAGGGAGGGGTGAGGCAGGAGCGCGGGAGGGAGCATTATGGGTTCGGTGCCGCGCGACAGGCTGCTCCACGGCTACCACCAGCCCACCGCGGCCTGCCTGGGGCAGTCGAAGCCCGGGTGGGGCGGCTCCCTCTGCGAGTCGAACACGGAGCCCCAGGGGGTGGGGTCCCCTCACACCCTCCTCTCGGATCACCGCGGGGCTGGTAATGGGATGGGGTGGCTAGATGCAGTCAGCCCGTATAACACGGACGCAGGATTTGGATGCAAGGGCCTTGGAAGGCCACTTCGAAGCTTTTCGAGAGGGGCGCGGCCAGCGAAAGTGGCTCGAGAGGGGCGCGGCCAGCGAAAGTGGCCAAGGATGGGCCGAATGGGCCAGGATGCAAGGGTACCCTGGGGAAGGTTGCTCATCTTATTATGCGGGTTGACTGTAGCGGATAGTTACTGAGGTCGGTTATGTCTCACGAGTGCCCCAAGTTGTTCAGGGGAGTTAGGGAAGTCTGCTGAGGGGGCGGAGCCCACTCAGACTGGAGCTCTACTCCCCGTAGCCACCTCCTTCTAAGCTAGGTCAGGCCAGGCATGACCAACTTTAGCCATCACGCGCAAGCCTCCATATCTCCTGAGCAACACCCGCCGCGATCCAAGCTCCATCCTTCTCCCCAGGCGCCCGAAGGATGTATTTTGTCCAACCCAGTCCTTTGTCCGCCCTCCTCGTTTCAGCATCCCGGGGCCGCTCTCGGGCCACACGACCATCCCAGCATGGACCCGGGACGACGCAGTGCCCCCACAGGGCAGTGTGGTTGGGAGCTCTGGTGCACTGGAGGGCAAAACCACGTCGCTGGGTGCCCCGGTCCGAGGACAGCTCACCCGCCCGAGCTTGCGAGAGCCACATTTTGAAAACCACCCGCCCTCAACCCGTGCAGCTCGTTTATCAAAGTGTGCACTGTTTTCAAATGACCGTGAGCTGCGCTTAGGCGAGAGCCACATTTTGAAAACCACCCGCCCTCAATCCGTGAAACTCTTCCAAATATTTGAATTGAAGCGAATCTGCGCGGCGCTACGGCGAGAGCCACATCGCGGTCCGAGGACAGCTCGCCCGCCCGAGCTTTCCTGTTCACAGCGCCGGAGTGGCCGGGCGGGGAAACACCGACCCGGCGGGCGGTGGGGCAGGGGGTGGACTGCACGTGGGACTCTCGCGTGAGACTCACGGTGAGAGTGGCAGTTCGCCAGAGCAGCCTCTGGCGCGCGGCTTCCGGGAGTCGCGGGAGGGCCCGGCCCCGGCGCGCAGGGCGTCGTTGCCGCACCGCATGCCACGATCGGCAGGCCGCTTGCCCAAGGTCCCTTTTGCTCAGGGGCACGCCGGCGTGCACGTCGCTGGCGGGGCGGGGTGCGCCCCCTCCGCCTCGCCTCGCTGTCGGCGAGCGGCGCCTCGGCGCCGACTTTTGCGCCCCTCGTGGCCGCCCGTGATCAGCCTACACCCTGAGGATGTGTTGGGCGAGGAGGAGGACGAGGAGGAGGAGGAGGAGGAGGAGGAGGAGGAGGAGGAGGAGGAGAGGAAGGAGGCGGGGAAGGAGGAGGGGTCATCTCAACTGCGGGAAGTACCCCGTTGGGGGACAACCGTGCGAAAATCTTGGACCGTGCCGCAAAACCGTTTTGAGAACTTCAACGCCACGAGTTTCCTGAGTATCACGTCTTGGCGATCCTGAATCGTGCCAGATCGCCGTTCCTACAACTTCAGCACCGCGAATCAACGTAGCTGTTGCGCCCCGACAGTCGTGAGCCCTTCGAAAAAAGAACAATTGCTGCTACGTTAACCATGAGAATCAATGGAACTTTTGCGAATGTTTGAAACGAATACGAATGCGCGCGGCGCTGAGGCGAGAGACACATGTTGAAAATGATTCGCTCCCAATCGGTGAAACCCTTGCGAAGTTTTATAACGAATGTGCGCGGCGCTAATGCGAGAGACACATTTTGAAAACCACCCGTCATCAGTCCGTGGAACTCTTCCATACTGTTCACACGAATGTGCGCGGCGCTACGGCGAGAGCCACATGTTGAAAACGATCTGCCCTCAATTCGTGAGGTTCCTGCACATGTTTGAAGCAAATGTGCGCGGCGCTAAGGCGAGAGCCACATGCTGAAAACCACCCGCACTCAATCCGTGAAACTTCTGCAAACGTTAAAAACGAATGTGCGGTGCGCGAGGCGAGAGCCACATGTTGAAAACCGCCCGCCGTTAATTCGCGAAACTGCTGTCATGTTTAAAGCGTCAGGACCATAAATGGTGAGGAAGTCTAAGTTCAAACGCCGGGCCCGGCCTTTCGGCCAGCTTCTGAGTGCAACAGGGACGAGTTATGTATAAGGAAAAAGGAGTGGAGGAGGACGGAACAAGGGAGGAGGATGAGGAGGATGAGGAGGAGGAGGAGGAGAAGGAGTATGAGGAGGAGGAGGAGGAGGAGGAGCCGGAGGAGGAGGAGGAGGAGAAGGAGAAGGAGAAGGAGATGGAGGAGGAGCGGGAGCGGGAGCGGCTAGGGAGAAGGAGGGAGGAGGATGGGAGACAGAGGTGAGAATGAGGGAGGAAGAGGACGATGGGCGGAGGAGGAGGAGCAGGAGGAGGAGGAGGAAGACGATGGGGAGGAGGAGAAGGAGGGAGGAAGAGGGAGGCGAGGAGAAGGAAGGGGAGGAGGAGGAGGAGGAGGAGGAGGAGGAGGAGGAGGAAGAGGAGCAGGAGGAGGAGGAGATGAGAGCGGATGATGATGATGAGGAGGAGGAGGAGGAGGAGGACGATGAGGACGAGGAGGAGCAGGAGGAGAAGGAGGAAGATGAGGAGGAATCCAAATCGGAATCGGAGCAGACGCGAAGCGTCACAGCATCCTCAGGCCGCCCCCTGAGTACGAACAAGGAGTAGCCGAACCAGAGGACGAAGGACAAGGAGCCAGAGGAGGACGACCACTGCCGCGCACACCTCCGATGAATCCCTCACCGCACACTGAGAACAAGAACGGGTTCAACTGATGTGAACCCAGCTCGATACGGCCCTGTCAATGATGAGCAAACACCACTGGTCCTTGGGCAAACTTTTCCCCGAACAAGCTCGCGGAAGCAGCACGGTTATCGAGCTCGCTTCCTCCACAGACAGCTTCGCTTGATTCCCACACCCAAGGCACAATTTCATCCCTCCAAACCCGCCATTGCACAAGGACTGCACATACACATTGCCGTGGCACTATGCACGGCCTCTGAAAAAAAGAACAAGCACAACCATTTGAAACCGTTTCCCCAAGCACAACGGGAGTACAAGCCAAGCTCCTGACACGCCCAAAAGGCAAAGTAGATATTCAATGCGAAATTCACCATACTATAACTGCAATGCCCTCCCCCGTCGGCGACGGGAGATTCCAGCGCTGTAGCTGGCGAAGCCCAAAATGCATAGAAAGCAATGAGAAGCCGCCCGACGCCAACAGGAACGAACTGTAATCGAGACGCCTACGGCGAATCACCACCGCACCCTGCCTTTTTGGAAGCGCCTATGTGGCCGAACGTTGAGGCCAGACCGCCAAGCTATCGGACCGTGTTTTCCCCGAATCGGTTTGGAAAGCCTTTGGGGAACACGTGGGCATCTTGAAGGTCATCTTGGCCGTCTGCAGGCCATTTTGACCCTTTCGGGCCTTCTTGGAGGACGTCCTGGAGGGCTCTTGGGCCGTCTTGGAGGCCATCTTGAGCGTTTTGGAGGCCCCTTGGGCCGTCTTGGGGACCTCTTGGGAGATCTTTGGGGGCACTTGGGCCGTCTCGGGCCGTCAAAAGGCAGAGAAAAAGCAAATGCCACAATCCTTCAAAAACTCTGAGGGGCATCAATTCCATTGGCCTTTTCGGGCCTTCCTGGAGGCCCTCTTGGAGGCCTCTTGGGCCGTCTTGGGCCGTCTCAAGGCCATCTTCGGCCGTCTTGGTGGGCTCTTGGCCCGTCTGACGCCGTCGGGAGCCGTTTGGGGGGTCTCTCTGGGCCGACTTGGGGCCCTCTTGGAATGCTCCAGGGCCGTCTTGGGTGCCATCTTGGGCGTCTTAAAGGCCTTCTGGGCCGTCTTGGGGGCCTCTTTGGGCCGTCTTGGGGGCCTCTTGGGCCGTTCTGGGGCCATCTTGGAGGCCTCTTGGGCGATCTTTGGGCTCTTGGGCCGTCTCGGGGCGTCGGAAGGCCGAAAAGAAGCACATGTCAAAATCCTTCAAAAAATTACGGACAATAAGTGTTATTTGAGCTTTCTCTGTCCTTCCTGGACGCCTCGTGGAGGCCTCTTGGGCCGTCTTAGGCCAGCTTCGAGCCAACTTCGGCCGTCTTGGTGGGTTCCTGGCACGTCTGACGCCGTCGGGAGCCGTCTTGGGGGCCTCTCTGGGCCGACATGGGGCCCTCTTGGGGCGCTTCGGGGCCGTCTTAGAGGTCATCTTGTTAGGCGTCTTGGAGGCCTCTTGGCCCGTCTTGGGCCCTCTTGGGGCCGTCTTGGGTGCCTCTTGGGCCGTCATGGGGCCATCTTGGAGGCCTCTTGGGCGATCTTGGGGCGACCTTGGGGGCCTCTTGGGCCGTCTTGGGCCGTCGGAAAACCGAAAAGGCGCAAATACCAAAACCCTTCGAAAACATTAGAAACATCAATGATTTCGGCATCTTCGGTCCTTCCAGGAGGACCTCTGGGAGGCCTCTTGGGCCGTCTTGGAGGCCTCTTGGGAGCTTCTTGGGCCGTTTGGAGCCATCTGGAGGCCAGCTTAGGCCTTCTTGGGCGCATCTTGGGCCGTCTTGAAGGCATCTTGGGGCCATCTTAGCCGTCTTGGAGGCCATCTTGTCCATCTTAGAGGCCATCTGAAGCCATCTTGAGCGAAGACGCCGACGAGATGGGCACCCTGGCGGGCCGCGCCGGAGCCCCAGGGGGAGTTCTTTTGGAAAAGAACCAAAACCAAAACCGAAAGGATCTAGCACGTCAGGCACCCCTGAGATGAATCGACAGGGGGCGGCGGATACCCTCCCCAGGCGGAGACGGAGATTCCAGAATTGTAGTTGAATGGGCTTGGCTCCTGCTGGGCGTGTAAAACGAGGCAATCCACTCCCCACGCGGCAGTGAAAGAAACTGACCCTGGAGCTGACGAAGCCGGATAACAGTCCCAGCGTTGTAGCTAATGAGCCCGCCTGCCCACCTCTTGACGCTAAGATCCTGCACCCCTGACCGCGACAGGGTCTTTTGCCACTGCTTGCCACACTCTCTGACCGTAGTTGACTGTGAAATTCGCTTCCCTTCGTCACCAGGAAGGGCTGCAAATTGCAACTGCGAAACAACAGCTCGCAACCACTGGCCAGATGCCCTGGTGTCCCCCAAGCGCCGACGAGCAGGCGGGAAGCTGGTTGGCGCGGGCGAGGTGGAGCCAAAAAATGGTCCCACGGCGCTGCGCCCACCTTATGTTTGAGAGGAAGAGGAGGAGGAGGAGGAGGAGGAGGAGGAGGAGGAGAGGAGGAGGAGGAGGAGGAGGAGGAGGAGGAGGAGGAGGAGGAGGAGGAGGAGGAGGAGGAGGACGATGAGGGGAAGAGGAGGGGGAGGAGCAGGAGGAGGAGAAGGAGGAGGAGGAGGAGGACGACGACGACGACGAGGAAACGAGCGCGCAGGACAACTCCGACATCCTGATCGTGGCCTTTAACCTTGCCGAGAAGGCGGCTCCGATGCGGCCAACTGGGGCGTCTGGGATCGCTGGTCCAATCTTTTGCCTCACCTCCTCCTCCCCCTCTCCCCAAGGCTGCATGGATGTCCGCGGGACGGATCTTTTTCGAGCTTCCTCCTTGTGCCCGCGCACGGCCCGCCAGAGGCCTCGCGGGTCTCTGCGTCCGGGAGCCTTGATGATGGGGTCCGTGCAAACGGGGGTCAGCCAGAGCGCCAGATCTTGCAGGATCCTGCCAAGCCAGGGCTCCATTGACCCGGGCCAGCGCGCAGGATCCTGCATGATCCTGCGGGATCTCGCGGGGTCCTGCAAAGCCTGATTCACCCGGGTGTGCATTGACCCGGGTCAGTAGATCCTCACTGCGCGCCCCCTTTTCCCATTCCGTCTCACGTGGCCTCGCGCCAGCCCTGGCCTCCCGCCCGTGCGTTCGTCGTCGTCTGCCTGCTTCATCCCTCCTCTCCCCCCCCTCGCCGGGCAGCAGAGCCTGCCCGGAAGCAGCGCGGCGGCGCGTTGGAGCAATGGGTGCTTGAGCGCGGAGGAGGGGGAGGAGGAGGGGGAGGAGGAGGAGGAGGAGGAGGAGGAGGAGGAGGAGGAGGAGGAGGAGGAGGAGGCGGAGGAGCCCGTCCCTGCCTCATCCGGCCTCGGGCTCCAGGAGGCAGCGGACGAGGTCGGGTCCCCTCCCCCTCACCGGCGCAGTGGCCGCCATCCTCGCCCACAGCGGCCGCCATCCTCGCAGCCTCTCTGGGCCCACGTCAGCGCCGCCGGACAAGCCCGTCCTTCGCCGCTCCCCCCTCTCTCGGGTGCTGCTAGAAGTGCCCCTGGTCCCAGGTGCCCCCAGGATTCGCAACGAGGCCCCCCACGGACCCCAGCGCACCCCTCACGAGGCCCAGGGCGCCCGCGTGGATGACCAACCAGGTGAGCATCCAAGGTTTCGAGGTCAACACCCCCGAGCAGCTTCACGTCCAGGGCATCTCCGACCGCGCGGCCCTGAAGATCGTCCTCCAGCCCAGAGTGGCAAGGCCTCCCGCCGAGCTGAACTATCCGGCTGGGGTTGACGGTAGGGCGGATTACGCCACGACTTTGAATAAGCTGGTCAAGTACGAGGACAGATCGCTGATGGAGAAATCCCCGCCGCTCAAGCTCATGCGGATTCAAGTCAGCATGGTAGGAGCAGCGGCGCTGGTAACGAAGAATATGAGGAGGGGACAGAAACACAGAGACACAATTAATCGTCGATTCCCCTGAACATGTGGAACATATGGGAAATTGAATTCAATAAAATGAGCAAAAGTTGAAATCCTGGGATGTGTGTATTTATTGGTGTGTCCCTGGGCCCCCTCAGAAGATGCTCGCGACCGAGGTGGATGGCATGATTTCCCAGTTTGTTCTGGCCAGGCAGGCTGCACGCGCAGTCTCGCGCAACAGTTGCAGGCTGTCCAAGCATCGTCGACCCTTATCCCGAGGCCGCCTCGTGCTTAGCTGCTGCCGACAACGTCGTAGCCATCATCGCGCCAACATCGCAGAGCGGATTTCGTTCGGAAAACGATATGATGGGCCTGGAGTGTCCTGTAGAATTTCGTTCCGGATTTCGAGGTGAATTCCGTGCAGATATTATTGAGCCAGGAATGAAGACCAAACGAAAAACACGCGACATTCACTTCGTTTTTCGCTTGCCGCTTTGGGCAAAAGTCCACGCAGAAATCCACGCAGAAATCCGCTGCAGCCCGTCTGCAAGGCCAGTGCAATGGTAACCATGACGCGCCCCGAGCTGTTCCAGAGCTGGGCGGAGAGGATCCATGTCAATGCTGCGGACAAGGACATCGCCGTGATCCAAGTGCCTCACGGTTGGCCCCGACCACGGCCCCATATCCAAGTACGCTAAGGAGGCCTCTAAGCTTGCCTTCGGGGCGAAGGGCAAAGGCAAAGGGAGGGGCGGCCTCTTCCAGGCTGAGAAGTAGGTTCTGGAATGCGAACTCTGTTTCTCGGGGCATGCCAGCCTGTCGATCTATTCCGGTTTGCCTTCGATATGCGAGACCCGAGTGCGCGATTCGCATTGCAAGTTTGCTACGAATCCATTTGTACAGATTGTGCCAGATCAGACGTGTACACGCCAGGTGCGCCGAGGGAGGTCGCAGAGGCAGCCCCCTCGTGCACCACTGCAGTGCCGGTTGGTAGGAGACCAGCCGCGTCGTGGGCAGACGCTCTACGATGATGTGTGGCAGCCGCCGCCAGTCCGCATACACCGCATGGCACGGTTAACGCTTGCAAAAAGGGCCCGTAGGAAGAAAGGCTTGGAAGGACGAGTGGTTGCTGCCGAACGGCACGCACAGCTCTGGCCTCCATTTGGCAAGCGAGTTGTGCTACGTTGAGCTTTGGAAGGAAAACGAGCGCACCTGCACCAGCACGACCAACTACAGTCTCCCACGCGCTACTGGGCCCCGATCTCCAGCAAGAGCGCGATCGACCCCGACGCGGCTCGTAGCTACATCCGCATGCTCTTGGGCACCCACATCGGCTTAGATCTGACCCCACCCAACGCCGACAACATGGGCAAGATCGTCCGCCCCATGGCCTCAGTCCGATCAGCATCTGGTGTCGACGGTTCTCCCTACCGCGCCAGGGCGTCCATCCCGGTGTGCGCCGATGTTATTTGGGAATGTGCGCCCGTGCTGTTGAGCGGGGAGCGTCTCCTTCGCTGCGCGGGGGGCGCGAAGCAAGCCTGTCCGCCCAAGGGCGCGCGCGCCGACGACCACCCCGACGGTGGAGCCATCCGATGCCCCAGCGAGGTCCGCGCGCTCGGGCTCCGCAGCGCCGACGCGAAGCTCGTCGCAGCGATGCTGAACTAGGCCAGCTGGCCGCTCGTCAAAGCTCGCGCCCCGCCCTTGCAGAGGGACGTCGTGCCTGGCAGGCGCTGCGCCGACGTCGTCGTGGAGCTGGACGTTGAGGCACGCATCGCCAGTTTCATGCCGGGTGCTCAAGAACATCCTCTCCTGGTCGCTTTGGGTTTCGGCCAAGATTCCCCAAGCCTCTCGCAAGAATTCCTCATGACTGTCCTCGAGGAGTTGGCTGTGCCCACGGCACTCTCGGCGGCGGTGCGCCGCCTGTGCTCCTTCGCCGCGGCGATCGCAGCAGTGGATAGCATGCTGATGCTCCTGTTCGCCGTCGCCCGTGGCATTATCCAAAGCTGCGCGCTTTCTGGCATGCTGCGCGCTCTCGCCACCACCCCCCATCATCGTCTCCATTGAGGCCATCTTGGAAGCGACCGCGTTTGGCGAGCTCAGAGCGCGCGCGGACGACACCGGCTGCGTCCTCTACTCCCTCTGCAGCCTCCCGACTCTCGCCAACGCGATGGACCTGGCGGCCCTGCGCGCGACCGCGCACCTCAAGGCAGCGAAGTGCAGGGCGGCGCCTCTGGAGGGCCGTTCGACCACCAGCTCTCCGCCATCGACCGCGCCATCCAGAAGGCTGTGCCGGCCTGGAAAGATCTCGTAGTCGTCAGCCGCCTGCTGTACCTGGGCTTCTGGGTGGGGCCCTCTGCCGACCTCGCTCTCCATTTGAAAGCCTCCCTGGCATAGTGTGAAGTGCCGTGTCTCAGCACTGGCTGCGATGGCAGCGCCAGTAAGGACAAACGCATGGCTCCACAATGCCCGCGCGATCTCGACGCTCATCTACGTCGCCCAGCTGGCGCCCCACCCCGCGTGCTTTGCCTACGAGAGGATCCACCGGCTTGTCGGGACCTGCACGCGCGCGGGGGCGGCCTTCTGCGCGGTGGACCAATGTTTCCTGCGCGAATAGGGGGGGGGCCTAAGCTCCCACCAGCACTGTGCACGGCCCAATCCGCCTTCATGCGATCTGCGCTGATCAACCGCCCGCGGGCGCCGGAGTTCCAGAACCGTCTCCTGGCTGCCGACGACAGACGGGCCGCCGAGTGGGTGCTAGCCGCTGGCCGAGCTCCTGTCTGTCCTTTGCCTTTCATTTGGGACCGCGCCCGCCTCTACGACGACACTGGGCGAGACCAAGAAGGGCACCCTCAGTCACAAGCCGCGCATGGACGCCCCGCAAGCCGCCGAACCAATCAGAGACAAGCTTGCCACGGCGAACACCACGCACAAGTGCCAGCAGGCGGGCTACGACGCCCTGACTGCAGAGTGGCACCAGCGGGAACTGCGGGCTATTCCCCAACGCCCTCCTACTTGGCAGGCCATCGCCATCCTTCGCCCAGCGCCGGGCGAAGTGGTTCCGCGACCGCGGCGACGCGGCCCATCGCGCGCCATGGCGGCGCACGCAGCTGCTGCTTTGCCCCCCGCCGGGCCGCGCGCGAACTTGCGATCGCTGTCTGGGCGCGGCGAGCGCGCGTGCATATCCGGCTGCGAACAGGGAGCTCGACATGCATCCCACGTCGCAGGCTCATGCGCGGACTGGCCGCGGCACGTTCTGGCGCGCGGGTCTTCCTGGACATTCACCCGCTGCGGAGATGGTGCATGGTTGGGCCCAGCAAGGACAGTCTTGACCTCCTTGCACGCACACTAGACATGCAACATCCTGCGGTCCAAGAGCTGAGCCCCCATTCCCGAGCTCGAGGAAGCAGCTAGAGGGGCCCTCAAGCTCAAAGCTCTTTCGGTACCTACATGCAGATCTAGAGCCCGACCTACGGCGGCGATAAGGGCCACGGCGTGGAGTTGGGACGGGGACCAATGCCTTCCGAATGCCGACGCCGTAGTCGAAAGCCCGCATCATCGTCGGGTTGCACCTTGCGCGGCGGCCACCACAGCCGAGCAGCGCGCCAATCAGCGCCAGGTCCTCACCGACTTCCTCGAGCTCGTCGGACAGCGGCGCCTCTGGCACTGCGGATTTCTTCGAGGCTCTGCCCCCGCTGCTTCCCCATTCCTGCGCAGCGGCCCCCAGGGGCGAGCTAAACGAGCTCGACTGCGTCGGCCTTCTGTCCGACGACATTTGCTCGGGCTCTTCGTCGGCGCTGACAGTTCGGAATGGCGT